CTCCCAGAGATGAGCTTAGAAGCCCTTGGGGCTACTTCTCTGAGTAGTGGTCATCTCTGTCCTCAACCCTGCAGCCCTGACTCACAAAAGGGGATCCAGGCCACCCTTCCTCTGTGAGAAACTCACAGTGACTCCTCTTCTCTTCCAGCTACTTGAAGACCCCATCAGAGGAGACCATCAGAGGGCCCTGTGTTTTCACAGCAGGAAGCGAGGGCAGGTGAAAGAGGTAGACCCACCCACCTTTGGGTCTCTCTCCGGGAATGAGAGAGCAGGAGGAAAGAGTAAGCCAAACTGTCTGATATAACAGTTTCTATTTCTCCTTCTGATAGTTTTCAAAGCAGTACATTCCTACAACTGAACTATAGGCATTCAATAGCCTTAAGAGGTAGGCGGGAATAGGGAGGGTTCTCTTTATTTTATAAGTGAGAAGACCAAGATGGAGCTCCAGCAGGGAGTGTGAGTACCCACAGCAAGTAGCAAAACTAGAACTGGCTTTAAAGTTGAAATCTTAGCTCCAGATCACATGCCAGACCTTGTTGCTTCTTGGGAATCTTCTGCCTATAAAGATGTGAGAGATTTGAGTGGAGATAGGTCGGGGACCCACCCCCTTGGAGGTCACCAGGAGCAGGGGAATGCTTCCTTCTTTTGCTGTTAAGAATGAAGGTGTTTTTTTCTAGCAGTTGCAAGGTGGACAAAACAACCTTTAGAGAAGGACAGGAGTTGAAAGGGAAATCAAAAAGGCAAGGAAGAGTAGATGCAGGCATCAAGGAGAAAGCATGCTCTTACTCTAGGGAGGGGGAGGTGCGGGCTGACTAAAGGGAGGGAGTCACCTTGTGGGACATTTTTCTGCTGTGCTGGGGGTTAGGTTGGGTGAGGTGGTAATAGCCTCTGAAGCCTTGGGATTAGTCTAAGGAGATGGAGACAGCGATAAGGTTGAGGTGGGGGTTGTAGATGAGCTGATAAGCAGGGGCAGGCACAGGAAAGCAGCACCCGGCCTATAAAGCTAATCTTGGAGGGGGTGGGAAAGGGCAGGCCCTGTCAGAGCTGCACAGAGCAGGTGCACAGGGTCTCTCACCAAGGGCAGTGTCCTTGGGTCAGGAAGGAGAAAGGGGGGCAGGCTCTTCACCCTCTCACTTGCCCTTCTGTGCCTGCCCTGTGCTCTCCAGTTAAAGGGGCAGGTACCAGCAGCCTGAGGGGGACTAGATTGTCCTGAGGCAGGATATAAGAAGCTAAGAAAATTCCTTGGCAAGTGGGATAGGGAAACTGAGATAGATAATTGAACAGCAGTTTGCAGCCATCTAGAAATCCTATCTTCCCTAAACCAAGGATACTTAAGAACAAATGGTTTGGTCCTGGCCACTGTGGCTCAGTTGGTTGGACATCATCCACACAACAAAAGGTTTCTGGTGTGATTTCTGATCAGGGTATCCAATCAATGTTTTGCTCTCTTTCCCCTATCCCTTCCTCTCTCTCTAAAAATCAATTTTAAAAATCTTTAAAAAATTGTGGAATATAATGAACAATATAAACTGATGAACAAAAACAGATCCAGAGACAAAGAAACATCAATCAGAATGTCAAACCTCAGGGAAGGTAGGGGATGGTGGGGGTAAGGGAGAGAGATCAACCAAAGGACTTGTATGCATGCATATAAGCCTAATCAATGGACACAGACAACAGGGGGGAGGGGGGCGCGAAAGGGGGATAGGGGTAATAGGGGAATAAGGACACATATGTAACACCTTAATCAATAAAGAAATTTTTAAAAAAGAGTAAATGGTTTGCACTTCTCTCCAACCAGAGGTTAAGTAGCTTAAATCACCCTACTCAGGGAGATAGATAACTATAATTCAATTAGAGCCATGTGTCAAACATACCCAAGGACAGATGAATTTAAGGGAATAAATTTCATTTTGGCACATCAGCAGAGAACTGATGAATATTCTATTGAGATTCTCCACTAAGACCTTCCCTAAATTCCCAGCCTTTAAAACTCCTCAAAACGAAGGTCTCAGCTTTTGCTCTCCCTCCCAGAAGCACACCCACACCTTTTCCTTCCCTTCCCCCTCTTCTTTCCCCGCAGGTGTTCATTGACCAAACTCTACCAGACCCCATGAGGCTTGCAATCAGGAGAGCCATGGGCAGTAGCAGCTCCTCCTAGGTTAACCCTCTGACCCTGTCCTCAAGGCCCCCTTTCTTTGATTTCCCAGTGAGTAAAAGCAGCCCCACCTAGGCTAATTTTTCCCACTAAGGCCCTCTCCTGTCATTTTTTCTGTTAAGCCCTTCCCGTGTTTCACTGTCCTGAGCTTTAATGACATACTTTCAAAAATCACCTGGACTCGTTATGAAATCTTCCCTACCCAAGTCAAGAACCCACACACTACCAGCCGGCCATAAGCAGACCTGCTCCAGGCAAGGTCCCCTTTCCAGTAACAGTCCCACCTTTCCCAGGGGTAGACTAGAGATTTGGAAACTGTTTTCTAATCTGTACGGAGTTCTCTCTTCACTTTTCCAGCTTTCTTCCCCACTACTCTTTCTCCTCTGGCATCTACAGTATCACTCTACTTTCTGTCGCTTTTCTCCTCTCATTCTTCTACATGCTTTCTCAGCTTTCTGGGGCCAAAGATACCCACAGACTCTTTCAGTCCGCAGCTTCAACCCTGTGATGATGCCTCGACATCCATCGTGATTCTGTAATGCCTTCCAGGTGCCCAGGAGGAGCAGGACAGATCAATGTCAGGGCCCAGAGCCGGTTGGTACCAAAGCAGCTTTATTCTGATGCAATGAGGAGGAATGCACACTTGGATTTTAATGGATAGGAAATATACTTCTACCCACATGCCTACAGCCGCAGAGGGAAAGGATTTGAATACTGTACTTGACAACATTAATAGTGATGCTCGCTGGCAGGTGGAACTATTTGCCCTCTTTGTTTTTCGTATTTCTTAAATAGTTCTTATTAAGAAAACAAAATTTAAAGGATTCTTGGTTCCTCCAAGGATATATTCTTCTCGGCGTGGGAAGCTGGGAAGGAGGGTGTTCATTACAATCCGGTTCTTTCCACTCCTGCTTTTTCTGCAAGACGCTCCCCATCACAGCTGCCTTCCCCATTTATGGTTACAAGCTGGGGATAGCTTTTTTTTTTTTTTTTTTTTTTGGCTAGGAACCAATAAGCTCCATCCTCCAAATAGCCAGGAGAACATTAGTGATTTTTTTTCTACTCAAGTATCGTTCCCTGAACCTGCAGGTCAATGAGTTCAAAGTAGAAATGAGCAGGGTCACCTGCTTACTTTAATCTTCCCACCCCCACCATCAAGTGACCTCCTGGGCCATTCCTTAATCACCCAGTTACCTGGCTGACTGGATCACCAGGAAGTATATGAAGTAGACAACATGAGTAACATCTGTGGAAATAAATTTCCACACGCAATCCCCTCTCCCAGAAAGATATGTGCTTCTGCACACATCATTACCCCTGCACTATGTGGTGGTTCATTCAGGTGTGGAATGCATAGGCACCAGGAGTGATGTGAGTTCATTGGGATAGATCAAATGTGTCTAGAATCTTCTCCACTCATTCCCATCCACCTACCTCTCCTGTATCTCATGACATATATCTGTTCTGGTTTTCAGAACAGCTCTCCATACTGTCTCCTGCACCTCATCCCACCCTGCCCTATCCCACCCCGACTCACCCTTAACCATAGTCTCTGTCCCAAGAAGCAGAGGAAAATTAGCCACAGCCAGTTACTGCCAACAGGTATGTGCTCACCAGGTTCATGGGCAGGGTGGGCAGTGAGCCACTGAGGCAGGTTTCTTGAGATCTGTTAGGTGGGCTCCTTGTCTCTCTGCCACATTGCTTCTTCTCTGAGGACTCTACCTCCTACCAAACATTTAGTGAATGAGCCTCTAACAAAGTTTTCTCTGTGACTAAACGTACAAGAGGGCTGGAACTGGTTTGGCTTAGTGGATAGAGTGTCGGCCTGTGGACTGAGGGGTTCTGGGTTCAATTCTGGTCAAGGACATGTGATTTGGGGGGTGGGAAGGAGGCAGCTGATTGATGTTTCTCTCTCATCGATGTTTCTAATTCTCTATCCCTCTTGCTTCCTCTCTGTGAAAAACCAATAAAATATATTAAAAAAAAATAAAAAATAAAAGTACAAGAGGATGTACAATGAGAGAAAAGGCTATTCCAGTCTATCAGTACAAGAGGGCAAAGTCTAGGAATGAGAACAGTTATGGCAGGAGGAGGAAGGAGAGAATAGGTACAACTAAGGCCCAGGATACCCTGCATTCTGTAAGTCCTATTTCCCTTTGTGTCTGTCTTTCTCTTTCTCCCTGTCTCTCTTTCTTACACACACACACACACACACACACACACGCACAGCCCAGATGGACTCTTTTTCCACCCTCTACCTCTCTCTTTTCCTTCCCTCATTTTCAATGGACCCGAGTTTTAAGCACAGCCCAGACTTGAGGATCTTTATTTCAGGCATCTGGTCTCAGCTTTTCCTATGCAAGCCACTTTCCTTTGAGACAGGCTGCATGGAAGAGTGGGAAGCTGTGACATTCAACAATCCTGCTCTGCCCCTTATTTTCTCTGTGATCGTGAGTGGGTGAGTCATTTATTTTGTGAACTTCAGTAGCCTCATCTATAAAATGGGATGATGACATTATTCCTTTGAAACCTGGCTGCTGTAAGAACATAATGGATGTGAAAGCAGTTCGCAAACTCTTAAGTCATCTGTGTTGATCTCCATAGTCATGCTCAAAGGGTTGGTCATCCCCTGCTGATTACCCTCCACTCTCTTGCCCAGTGATAGAACTCTCTAGTGAACTGGAATGAGTCAGCCTGTGGCTGTGATATCACAGAGCTCTTGAGGTCAGAGGTCCTATAGAAGGGAAGAAAACGGTGCTGGTAAGGGGTAAGGGGTGGGACAGGGACAGGGGAGGGAGGTGGCAGGGAGCCTGCTGGGGTGTGGGGAAGGCCACAGCAGTGGATGGGCAGATCCATGACTTCCCTGGGCTCCCAGCTCTTCAGAGCAGCATTACTGGCAGCCATCTTACTGATGCTATGGGTAAAGGGGGTGAAGCCTCAGGGATGGAGCCCAGGCCCCAAAGAGAGGAGTAAGAAAGAACAAATACCCTCTACAGGTAAGTAGAAAAGGAGGGCAACCCCGGGAAGCTAGGGACAGATCTGTTTGCAGTCACTTCCAGATGATTTATAAGGCCAGAGGGAAATCTGAGATAGGTTTGGGTTGTGGGAGAATACCCAGGTTCCCTACTATTGTAGTTTGAAGGTCTCATGTGAAAGGGTAGAGAGGAGGGGAGAGCCCTATTCAGGGAAATACTCTAGGCCGGTGAAAATTGCATGGAGCTTTCATGAGTATCAGCATACATGCATTTGTCTGGGAAGATGATCTTTTATTTTCACTCTTTTTTAAGGTAGTCCCTCACTCCCAAGTGATGTAACACTTTGAAGAATAAGTTGGGTTGGAAATGGGGTGTTTGTGCTGTTGGGTTGGAGTTGTGCTTTCACACAGATAAGAAGTCCCTTCTGGGACTCCTCTCTGGTCAAGGACAAGGATATGAATAATTGAGTAAAAAGTCCCAGGACCTAACTTTCCCCATATTCTCCAACTTCTTCCCCTTTACTATACAGGGGCAGGTTAGGATCAGTGTTTCAGTATCTTCCCCCTCTCCCCTGTTCCAGACCAAAATCAAGAGCAATTTGAAGAGTACTTTGTGGCCTCCTCAGTGGGTGAGATGTGGCAGGAGGCGAACATGGTCGAGCAAGAGGATGACAAGACATCAGAGATGGAGAACACGGCTGTTCGTGACCACCTATTCGACCTAGCCTTGTGCTTTAATGTGGCCAGTGTCTTGGTTTTTTTATAAGAGACATTGAAGATGAGGTGGTGGCCTTTTTCCTGGATGAGGACCTGGATATCTACCTCGGTTTCATGATAGCTTACTGACCCTCTCTCCCCTGGGCTTCAGGTCACTACTCTCAAGGAGACATACACACAGTGTCCTGCCCCTTGACTGCCCCTGCTCTGAGCTCCATCCTTCAGGGCCAGATACACTAGGCCCGTGCTCTTCTCTTTTCCATGCCCCTCCTGGCTTTGTTTAGCACAGCAGATTAGGGGGAGGAGATAACTACAATAAAAGTAATAACAATAAAATCCTGAAACAATTGGGGGCCATATTCCTGAGACTTAACCAAAGCCCTCCTACCTTGAACTAGTCTGTTTAATCACCCAACCTCTGACCTTTAGACCTACTGGTTCACCAATCATTGGTTCTTTCCTTTTTATGTCTGTGGAACTCTGCTTCAAAGTTTCTCCTTTATCTTTTCTGACTTTTTAGGTAGCACAAATCAGGAAAGAGTCATTAAGAGACAGGCAGAAGCCAAGTGCCAGATTTTATTTTTGGAAAAGGGGAGAGGAGACATCAGCCTGATTTCATGGATGGGGCAGGGAGATATTGATACATGTGTATTGAGGTCTCTTTGGTAGCCAGGTTACCAGAGTTGGCAGCGTTTTGAGGGGTTTAGGAGGGCACCACGTGGACAGTAGAAATGTCTAGCGAAGGCTGGAATGTTGCTGAGGGGCCCATGGACTCGAAGGACAGGAGGGCTGTGAGTGTCCTGAGAATCCTGTGTGATGAGCTCTCTACACATCACCTAGGAAGAAACAGGTTCACAGAGAGTAAGGAGTAAACAAGAATAGATAAGCGTCAGTAGGCAAGACCTGGTGACGAGGTGGAACTAGGAACAGCAGACAAAGACAAGCAAAGATGGTAATGACCAAGTTCCATGAGAAGAAAGGAAGAGCATTTTTCAATTGTAGGTCATTTAATGTGGCACTAGGCATTCAGGGAAAGGGCCCCATATGTGGAATCAGACCACTTGTCAGTGACTAAGAGGAGAAGTCTATTGGAAGAACTCTGTGACAAGGTTTTTAAGTATATTGAGAAATTGAGGGCAGAGTGTATTGAGGGAACACATGATACTTAGGGACTCACACTTGGGGGTGACATCTTTGAAGAGAAATGTAGCCTATAGATAATCTATCAAGACTTGTTTTTCATGGGTTTGTATTTTCAGCAAAAGAAATAAGGGGAGGGGGGAGTTGAGCTCATTCCAGGGAGGGATTTAGAAATAGAGATTTTTTGGTATTGTTTTTTGAAGGAGATGCTAAATTTGGTAGGAAAATATCTGTGATAATATGAAAGGATGGGCCCAAGGGGGCATGTATGAAAGGATATCTGTGGCAATGGTGGAAGCACTTGGGGAAATGTGTATCAGGAAGTGGAGATTCTTTAAGCATTACCAATAGGATATTTATCTGACATGGAGCAAGTCATAATGGGAGATGACGGCCACCTACCTGGGCATAGCTTCGGAAGAAAAGTTGCTGGGGTGTTAGGCCTAGTTTGGGCAAAGTGGTCTCCCCACGGTGCCATAATAGCATCTTGTTGTATGCCTAGATATGGGGGTAGGATGAAGAGTAGACCTTAGGCTCCAACCTGTGCCATTTGGGGGTCTGATGCCCTATACACAAAACCCCAAACCAGTTCATAGTCCCCTTTCTCAAGTTTTGCACTGACAGACAGGTCTGAGCTAGGAGAAATGTAATTGTGACAAAAATCTATGGTTATCCTAGAAAAGAGGGATCTATTAGGTTGGAGGGGGATCCCCAAGTGGACATCGTTCAATTGGGATGTGATGGGCAGAAAGCTTTGCAACTATGTATGCATGAGAGATGGCAGAAGGAAAAGTCAGGGACCGGGTGTCAATTTTGTTAGTGGAAAAAGATTCTGACCTTTGGGATGTGAGTTACCTGCAGTGCTATCGCCAGCCCCCCGATGTCTGCAGCATTCTCCAATACTGTGTGGGAGCTATTAAAGGAAGTTACACCATATAATGGAAAGGCAGCATAGTGGTGCTCCAGACACAACAGCGCCTCCTTTAGGGCATGGGTATCACAGGCTGGGCAGCCCCCAGGGAGTACTGTTGAAAAAAGGGCAAGGGAATGGAATGTTGAGGCATGGTGCAAGGGTGAGGACATGGGGGTACCACAGGTCGGGCTGGCTCCTCAGAGCATTGTAAAGGCTCAGGACTGTCCCACCCAGAGCCCTCGCATACCCTCCCTTTATCCTCCTTTTGGGGGCCTTCACCTGTGTTCTCAATGACCCCCACCCCCAATGGTCCACTGATACTCACAGAGCTGGTCAAAGATGTGCAACAGCTCCCGGGCCATGATGCTGCCAGCAGCACCAAAGTTCACGGCCCTAAAGAGACAGGGCTTATCTTACTGCCAGAACCCTTCAACATTTTTAACCCTAATCCTCCAACCACTAGTCCCATCCATTGCCACCCCCCGCCCCCCGCCACTTCTCCAGCCACAGCTGCTCATCACTCTCAGGAAACATCCTGCCCTCCTTCATGGAATGGCCCATACCTGGGGTAGTCAGGATGGAAGAATGGTGGTTGGAGGAGTCCAGCTGGAAAGACCAGCATGTGGTCAGCTATTGAATAGTAAGCATTGACCCCCCAGGGGGCCACCTGCCACCTGTGGGATGAGTACAAATGAACACCAATGCCATAATTTATTTGCTTCCCCCAACAAGATATATGTAGTTGCCCCCAATTACTGTCACTGTTCCTGTTTCCCTGAGCCCCTAGCTTGCTCTCTTGCTAATCATGGATGTACATCTCTGGGATGCAGTGTCTGTAACTCCTTTGGTCTCATACCTAAGTTGGGGAAAAGGCCGCAATGAGCTCTGGACAATTCTACTTTGGCGGGATCGAATACCACTCAGGAAGGACTGCAGAAAATTGGGTCCGAGGTGTACCTGGGAGGAGCCAAGAGGTGACTAATATACATTTACCCTGACATACCCTGATGGCTGCATTTGAACCCAGACAGATTAGCCCTACACACAGACATCCCCAGTACAGTGGAAACCAGCACACCACAACACCACACATGGGCTAGACAGGTTTCACATGTGTCGCCACACAGATAAACACCCTCAGGCAAGTCACAAGAATGCACATGTGCATGTGTGCACACACACATTATGACCTGAGGAGGTTTCATTCCTCTGCTGGCAAGACCCATAGTATCTTGCCCATAAAGTCCAGCCAGCAGGAGGGCAAGAAGGGGTTGGTTCAGATCACCAAAGGAAAAAAAATTGTCTGCCACAATCTATTTGGGTGGGTCAGGTGGTGAAGAAGTTGTAGACTAAGGTGGAGCTGTCAAAGACAGGGACCCACATCACTGTATTCCTGTCTGGCCAGCGCTGGATCCATGGCCCATTCTGGGCCCCCCATCTTCACCTGTAGCTGGGTGACCTGGGGAGAGACACAGGTAGAAGGTATCTACCCTGAATCTATCAAAGGGAAGTACTCCTGCTCACTACCCTGTCCCCACCGTTCCTAATGTCACTAGGGTATGTGTGCCACATGGTGGTAGTACCCTTATGCCTTGGGTACGCTCCTCCAGCCACTGTAATCACTTGATCCAATACTCAATCCTTCCCCCATCCCAACCTCACCCACCTCCACACATAATCAACTTGTCTTTTACCCCAGCCTCACCCTATCCTGGGCCTTTTTCTGGGTCTCCTCATCCATCCAGGGAATCCTTCTGAGGCGGGTAATGAGGGCATCCTTGATGGCAGTGAATAAATCCATGGCCTGTGGATGTGAGGGGGCAGGGATAGAGAAACAGGATGAGGACCAGTCTTGGTTTTGGGTCCTGCCCATCCCAGGCTTCTAGAGGCCTTGGTCCTGAGGAGCTGCCAGAGAAGGAGGAAGAGCTCAGGAAGAGAGTGGAAAGTGGTAATCCCTAGGTGGCCAAAAACCCAGAAAGATCTGTGGAGACAGAAAGGGAAAGTGGGAGCTGGCCACTCCTGTGGGTCGACAGGTAAAACAATGTCTTTCTTGGGAAGATCTCAACCTGCCAAGGGAGGGAGACCCCATCTTTACTCTGGGCTAAGCAATCCACTCAGAAAGTGGAGGGAGGATGAGGACTATCTCTGCTCTCAGGAACTCTTGTCCTCACACCCTTTTCCTTTCTTTCTCCTTTTTTCCCTCACACCTTTTTTCTTAAGGCATGTTTTTCCTTTTTCCTTCTTCCTAGGGTTTTCAGTGTCCCAACAAGTTGAAGTCTCACTAGCTTTACAACCTGACCATAGAGTTATTGCTATTTACCATCTCCTGTATATCTTTTCTTAATGGAGGAAGATGGGTGACAATATCAGAACCTGAGTTCAAGTCCTGACTGCTATTTGTTAGCTTTGGGCAAGCCTCTCTGTGCTTCAGTTCTTAAAGTATTAGGATGATGCTTGTACTTCGAGTAGTTCAAAGGAAGTTCTTACAAGAGTACCAGGCACATGATAGGTACTCAAAAGTATTCAGTAGTTATTTATTTTCACTTCTTAAGATTATATCAATCCATCCTCATGTTTCATGTGCTGTTAAAAAATCATAAACAGAGAGTAGCCTTAGAGGTCATGGAGTTCAGTGTTCTCATTTTCTGGTTGAGGAAACACAAGAGCAGGAAAATTGGGTAACTTGTTCAAGTTAGTGCATGTTGTGTACCCTTTATGTCTCATAGCTAAACTGTATAAACCCTGGGGACACAACATGTCCTTCTTTGGGCTCTCTCTCTGTGACTGCCTGACTCCTTAAATACACAAACAATTGAGAAGGACACAGTCAATAGAATTAGGAGAGGATATGTTGGGTGAGGAGGAGTAGAGGGACATGGGGTGGGGAAGAGCCCTCACATACAGCACTTTGGGTGCTTGGGCTGAAGGCCTCATGAACAAACAAGGCTGCCAGGGTAGGCTCGAAGAAGTCTCCAGTATCCTCCACGCACTTCATCCATCGAGGGTAGGCGGGCTACAGAGACAAAGTTGGAATGAGATGTTCCCATCAAGGGTCTTCCTCATTTGTTTTCCCAGGCCAATCCCAACTAGTTCTCCTCCCAACATAGACTGTACTCTTTTCTGGACATTATGGATTTGTCTCACTTTATTCTCTTATCCCTTTCAGTGGTATACACGGGTTCATTACTACTTAGGTAACTCAGGCTTAGTTCTCCAAGATTAATCTCAGAAGCCTGGGTTGGGCAAATCATACTTGTTTATTGCCTACTGAATTTGAAATCAAGGTCTCTGGGAAGTATCCTTATGAAGGATGGAAAGGCTTCTGGAAACCTCTCAGGTCCCTTGGCCACCCTGTCCCCACCTATCACAGGCACTGCTTTGGTAACCCAATAATGACTCCCCTTCCCACATTTTTTTTTTTTTGCTTAAAATGCAAATTAGAGAATGTCATTTCTCCCTCCTACCACCCTTCCCACTTTCAAAATGGTTATTATGGATCATATGGCAAGATCTTGTCTTATAAAGAAGAAAATTATCAGAGTAAAATTATTGAGGTTCAGATAAGAGAACCTTGATAGAAAAATAGTGCTAAAAAGAAAACTAAAAATGTGAATTCAGAAAGCTAAGAAACTTGCAGCCAAAGCCAGATGAAATGATGAGAAAATAGGATGAAAAGGGAGATATCTTCAACCTTAAATCCAGAGAGATGGTTAGACGAAAACTCAAGAGGCCTTTGGGGTAATTTTTAACAGTAGGACAGAAAGAATATGAAGAAAAAAAAAAGAGAGCAAAAAAAAAAAAAAAAAGGATGCTGGGGATGTTTTGATGATGGACTTGGATGGTTTTGAAAAGTTGACCAAGAGGAAGGCCCAGAGATGACACACAGTAGACTGCGAAACATGGCCAATGGACCACAGTAGGAATATGAGAGCTGGCCTATGGGAAAGCTGGGCTGAGACTTTGAAAAACCAGATAATATGCTAATAAATTGTGGGGTGAAGTCACAAGAATTCATTCCTGTAACTTATGTACTCCACTTAGATCTCTTCTTAGGCTGCCACTAAGCTCTCTGGCCTTAAGACTGAAGAGAGAGAGTTTATGGGGCTCCCACAAAAGAGGGACCAGAAAGAAGGCCAGCATTGTCTTCCATGAAGAAAAAGAGTCTGTCTACTAGGACATCTATCATTTTTTGGGTGGCTCCAGACCTGGTTGCCCACATTGTGTGTTCTTATCCTCTCACTATGAGGCCAGCTAAGGACTTTGTGAGGAGAAGGCACTAAGACATTTTCTCTAATATATTAGTTAAAGTGCTGAAACACAAATTTGAAAAGCAAACACAAGTAGAAAGGAAACCCGGGTCTGATAGTGAAATGACTGGGTGAAGTGCAGGCTCTTCTGACCATCTTCAAGGTCCATCTTCCACAGGCCTCCCTCTGTCAAGCTTGGGTGGCTGCTGGCACAGCAGCCAACAGCATTGGACTTGTGCTTGATGGTGCCTCCCCTTTTCATACCTCCTGGTTCTTGACTTGTTCCCTGATCTCTTTCTCTGGCTTCTGCCCCTTTCTCCAACAGCCTTTGCCTGCTCCATGCTGTCTCCATAGTCTGGACCATGGCAGGTCTTGACCTGATTCCTGGAGATTATAGATGCCATCTCAGACTACCCATTGCTCACCCCTGTGCAACTCTGGAAATCATTAAACTGACTATTTTTTAACACTTGGAAAATTATGTGCAATGACTAAGGTCACTAAGCACAAACAAGGTCAAAATAATAGGGATTTCTGTGGTTAACAGGTTCATCACATGAGGACATACTTCAAGCCAGGAGTCACAAACTCAAATAGGTGTCATGAGGTGACATAACTGAGAGAAGCTATCCAACATCAGAACCACAGGACATGGAAGGGCATTGGCAAATGGGAGAGAACATGTCCAGTTTGGGCTGAACTGTAGTCAGCCGTTGCTCTAGAGAAGGCGAGCCCAGCAATACACAAGCTTCACATTTACAATAAAGGGCTGAAAATCAGATTACTGGCAGGCCATCTCCTAATTTTTGAATGCTGGTGATGAATTAAACATCTATAAAAAAACTTTAAAGACCAACAAAACACATCAATAGGTTAAATGCGTCCTCTAGGATCAACTCAATACCTCCTTCAAACAGAGAATTCAGCATTTACTAAAATTGATGTTTACCTTAAACATTGGTACTTCAGATAAACAGCTACAAAAATGAGACAGATATCTGTTCCAACTTCATTACAGAGTTGTTTAAAAGATGAAGTAAAAGAATCCATTGAAAACACTGTAAATTCTAAGCTGTTACCCCACTGGCATTAATTTTATTTCAAGAAAGCATTTGGTAAAACCACAAATTAAATCCTTGAGAATTAGATTGGAGAAATCTATGTTGGATGATAGTATAATTTGAGTGGATTCTCAACTGGCTGAACTATAACAAAACATTAAAAATTAATGACTCCAAGTTTGTATGAGCTTCCCTGACCAGGACTACTGAAAAATCTTTCTTTATCCATTATAAGTGTCTGAGGACAGAGATTCTTGTCTCTTTTGTTCACTGCAGTCTAAAGTTCCTAGTGAAGGGTCTTGTATCTAACAGGTGCTCAATAAATATTTGCTACATAAATGAATGGATGGACCTATAGCCAGGTCTTCAACAGCCTGACCTGATGCTCTTCCTTTTTCAAGATCTTAACAGTAGTCTAGATGAAGATATACTATAGAATGCAAATGACCCAAGGTGGGTGAAAAAAGGCAATGTAATGGGTGATTGGAGGGGGAAGGGAAGGATGAAATTACCTGAATACATTGGGAAGCTGGGCTGAATATAAATGATTCACATTTAACAGGTACAAATGTAAAGTCCTACTTTTACTTCCTCAAATTCAGCTTCTCAAATATAATAAAACCTGGATTAATAGCCATTTTATTGACTATATAGTAAGGACACTATAAAATAGAATGCATTCATAAAAATATGGTCAGAAATCTGTACTTAATAACCATAGAACAGAATCATAAATCTGCCCTAACCGGTTTGGCTCAGTGGATAGAGCATCAGAATGCAGACTAAAAAGTCCCAGGTTTAATTCTGGTCAAGGGCACATATACCTTGGTTGTGAACACATCTCCAGTAGGAGGTGTGCAGGAGGCAGCTGATCGATGTTCCTCTTTCATTGATGTTTCTAACTATCTATCCCTCTCCTTTTCTCTCTCTAAAAAATCAATAAAATACATTTTTTAAAAAAAATCATAAATCAGATCAAATTAAGGCTTAAACCTTGGTAGTGTCTGACTTATACCATGCATTTGTCAGAAAACCCTGTTGCTTACTTTCAACTTACTTTTTAAAAAAATGAGGGGTGAGAAACATCTGGCAAGTGAAATCATTTGGTCTGGTCCTGGCAAGGCATTAGGGCCGAGTTAATTAAACGTTTGACCAAATATAGAAGGCTACTTTTTCCCCCTTCCTCTTTAATTAAAAAAAAAAAAAAAGCTAATTTTTAAGTTGATAATTTTTATGGCCCATGAATGATGTTATAAGCATCCAAATGGCCCTTGGCAGACAAAAATGGTGCCCGTAAGCAGATGATTAGATCAGAAAACTATGGTACATCTATACAATGGTATATCCATACATGCTGCCATAAAAAAGAAGGAATTCTTATCATTTGCAGCAATCTGGATGGAATTGGAGAACATCATGTTGAGTGAAATAAGCCAGTTAATGAAAGAGAAACACCACATGACCTCACTCATTTATGGATAATAAAGAACATTATAAACTGATGAACCAAAAGATAGATATAGAGACAGTAAAGCAACAAGCAGACGGTCAAATTACAGCAGGGAGGGTAGGGAGATCTGGGGGAGATAAGAGATCAATCAAAGGACTTGTATACATGCATATAAATACAACCAATCGACACAAAACTCTGGGGAGGAAGGGTATGTATGGGAGGGAGGGACAATGGTAAGATATGTACACAGATAATAATTTAATAAAAAAGAAAAAAGAAAAAAATGGTTCCTCACCCCTGTTTTAAAACATAAAACAAATAAATCCTATATGCCCCTTTTCATGCAGAGAAAAGCCAAAGTCTCAACAGTGACCTATCAGGCCTTTTATGCTCTCTGAATTCGTCCCTATTGTTATCTCATTTCCATTCTCTGTTCCAGTTGCACTGGCTCCTTGCTGATCCTCAAGTTTTTGGGCATACTCCCCAAGCAGCAGGCATAGTCCAGCCTGCTCTTCTCAGCCAGAGCCACCAGGAGGATCTATCATATTACACTACATTTTAGCCAGCCTATCCCATGCCCTGTCTCAATGAAATAATAGCCCTTTCTTGCCAGAAAACTTCAATTCTCTAGAACCTATTTCTATGCTTCCTCTTTTGTGGAAATCCCACTGTTCTGTCAAACAAACCCAAGTCTCTCCCTGTTGGGAACTCCAAGAGTATCTGTTGTCTAACCAAAGTTTCCTTGGAATGCAACTACGCCCTTTCATTTATTTGTTGTACAAGAACAGAGTTAGGTGGTTGCAACATAGACCATATAGACCACAAGGCCAAACATTTTACTCTCTTGATCTTTATAGAAAGAACCCATTTCTGTACCACCTACTTATTTCTCAATTCTGCACAGTATGTGATTAAAAACATGACCCTGTGAGCCAGGCACATTTTTTGGTGTCTGTTTCTTTATTTATGAGCTGTGATGTCTTGTAAAAGATATTTGTTCTTCCTGAAGCCCTCTGAGTATTTCTGGGAGGATTAAATAAAACAATTTATGCTAAAAGTTGCATGCAATGAAACTAAAAAACAGGTACACACTGTGTATCAGCTGTTATTATTATGTGTCATATTTGGTACTGTTGCTTCAAAGAGGTGAAGTGGCTTCCCCAACTACAACCATTTGTTAGTAGAGCTTCATTCAGCTTTTCAATCCACAAATAACTATATCCATATAAGAGATAGATAGATTTTAGATAGATAGATAGGTAGATAGATACTAATTTTAGCCATTTGTAAGCCTTCTGAGTTCAAGTGTGAGTTTCAATGTTGGCACTCTTTCACCACTCAAGACGTGCCATCAGGACACTGTTCTGGAATTACAGGAATCTGTTGCCAGGGATTTTGTAGCAACCCCAACTAATAGGAGTTAGGACCCTGTTCTTCATCTGAGTCAAGAGAAGCCTGAGCAGAAGGAACCTACTTGGGGTCTTAAGTGAAAGTACTAAGAAGAGTTTTTTTGTTTTGTTTTGTTTTTATCACAATGATTAATTACAGAAACTCTGGAGTCAGACTGACGGAGTTCAAATCTTAGCTCTATCAACCTACTCAGTGTACTTCCTTGATCAAGTTTCTTTTGTGCCCGAATTTCCCTGTCTATTAAACAGAGACGAAATGGTGTGTCTAACTCAAGGAAAACTTGAGAAAATTAAACCAGCTCATCTATCTAAAGGACTTATAAAAATGTCTAGCACATTATAAATTCTCAATAAGCAATAAATATATTCCAGTACCCTGTGCATACATCTTTCCTCTTTGTATTCCACAGATATTTCTGGTTGCCAAAGCAGTGAGTTTCTTCAAGGCAGAGAAATGATTCACAAATTAATAAGAAAAAAAACCCCACAAAAATGCAGTGATTTTTAAGACTAAACCAAGGCTTTTGTAGAGGTTGGGGTGTCTCTAACATACTAGATACCTCCAATTGCATTTGGATGTGTCCAATCCAGATTTCAAAGTGCTCAGTAAAGAAGTGTCTCCACATCTTATCTAACACTATAGACTTTAATTAGTGAAGTGTGTTTGCTATGCAGCCCCTTCTTCAGATACATCAGTATTTACACCAGGAAGCTTATAGTGCAACTCAACAGATACCACTGGATGTCAGAGATGAATTCTTTGTGAAGAATATGAGAAATAAACACTAGAATCACCAGACAAAGAAAAAGCCATTGCTAGCTACAACTGTCTCTCATCCTGTCCTCAAGTCACAGAGTTCAGGATAGCTAGGAAAATAGTTTAAGGGAGATGACAAAGGAAAAGCAGTTCTTAATAATTTTAGAGCTCTATATTCAAACTTTAACACTCAGCAAAAGGCCATAGGCTAGACATAGCCAGAAGTGTATCTAAAAGGTCTGGTACTTGGTACCTCAATTCTCAAGGTAAACATTGCATGCCAAACCTGTCTGCTTCCATGGAAAGCCCAGACATTGAGAGGCATCTACTCTCGTGTCACCTACCTGAGAGGAATAGGCCAAAATTTACCCCTCAAAATGACAGATGCTCCTTTAGCCCCCAATCTGAGACAATTCATGCCCTCCTGTCCTCACCACGGGTGGCAGTTCAGTCAGCTCCCGCAGTTTCTGGTTCAGGGATCTGCGTGCCTCCTGGAATTTACTGTCCAGGGCTGGAGAAAGGGTCCCCACCAGCCCAAAGATCATGTAGCTCTGCAGAAAGTCGCTGTGGAGAGAAAAGAGACCCACACACCTCATGGCTCTGGTGATCCCTCATGCAAAGTCACCCCTCTCATAAGTTTCCTGGATTACTGGGAGAAGCCCCTTCCCTCTGTATTTAAAGGGAACTGTTTGTGAAAAAGCAAAGGAGAGCTTTTCTTGGTTTGGATTGGAGTGAGGATGAAGAATGATGAAACAAAGAACTAGACGAAGAGGCAGACTTCTCAAGTCACAGGAAGAGAAAGATCTGGACTAGATGAAGACTGGATTAAGATTTCACAAAACTGATTTATCTACTTCTATAACCAAGATCTCTCTCATCTTAAGATGTATCTTCGAAACAAAGCTGGGATCAGGGACCTTTGTCTGCCCTGCTGGCAACTCTTTTATACATTTGACTTGTGCCTTTACATAAATATGCTCATGCACATGAATGCTTGTCTGTTTCCCTCAGAAAGCATCTCTAGATGTTGCTGCCACTGAGTTACTATGAAAAAGGGCCCAAGTCCTTGGAAGAAGCCCCTTTAGGTGGTGGCCACACACATATCAGGGATGGAAGAAGGCCCAACACAGAGCTTCACCCTCCTGTCCCCCACCTTCTTTGGCTTCCTGATCCTTCCCACAGGCCTCTACATATGAGAAATGGCCTCTGCCTCAGCTTTTCCGCCAGAGGACCCCAACCATTATCTCCTCCATCTATTCCTCTCATATGCCTCCTCCTCTCACCCACACTCTTCCACAGCTGATGAGACACACATGGCCAAGCTAGTCCCATGACTTACCTTCCAAAATTTCCTACAACGCAGAGGCATTTTACTGGCTTGGTTCTACTCCAGCAAATCCTGTCTTGCCAGACACCAGTACCCCTCATTTCATGTGTGTTTTTCCTTCCTCAAACCTCTCATCTTTCCTCCATTCCCTCTTGTGTTATCAACCCCAACCTTTTCTGTCCCATGTGTCTGTGAATCCCTCCCATTTTCCTGGGAGGCCCATAGCAGCCTTCATTCTACAAGTCACCTGTGTTCCTGAGACCTCTGGGTCTTCAGACTCTTTCCTCTGCCCTGTACCTCCCTGATCCCACCTGGAACAAACCCGTGGCTCAACAGCTCTTCTTCCACCAGTTGTGACATGTTTTTCAAATAATCCAGGTCATGTACCATGACGGTCTGGGAGGGGTTCAGGGACATCGATGTGAATGTTGCTTGGAGGCAGGATAACCAGTCGATGGTAGGGGCCATTTCCTTAGAAGAGAGACACAAAGGCTGAGAAGAACACAAAAGGAGAAGAGAAGAAAGAAGTGTTTCCCCACCTTCAGGATTTTAGGGGATTTGGGGAGAGGGATGGTTAGGGGAAAGGATGGAGCCAAAAATGTTAGGGATGGAAAGGAATTAAGGGAATGAGGAGAAAGAAGACAAGGAGGTCAAAGAAGTTTGAAAGAGAGGACCTATACACATCCTCCTCCAGTCCCCAGTTCAAGGCACCTGCAGTTTGTCTATAGTGACAATCTGGAAGAGCTTTCCCTGTGCCTGCTGCTGCCCCAGGGGTCTCATGAACCGGAACAGCCGTGAGGTAAGGGAGATGGACAAGGAGGCATGTTCTTGCACCTTGACTGGGTCTCCTCCCAGCAAGGTTCCCAGCTGATCCAGGTAAGTCAGGTATTCCCGCATGACCTGGGGGAGGAGTAACCTCAGTCACAGGCACTAGTGGCCCCTGTCTTTCTTCTAGAGTAAAAAGTCAAAACCTTTGACCACCACTCCATCTTACCTGGGCATAGATCTTCTGTTCCTGCTCTTTCTTGAGGGGAATGTCAAGCTCTGGTTGGTCTATCTGGACACAAGAGAGACTGGAGAGAAAAGGGTAGTGTGGAGGAAGGAGAGGACAGGTGTGGGGAGATGGGGACTGTGCCATGAAAGACAACCTCAGGGGATGGAATGAAGAGGGCATAGAGAAGGAGTGAGAGTACTAAAAAAAGAAAGGACTTGGTACAAAGGGGATGAGGGAAATGTGAAGAGAAAGTGGGTATTTCAATCAGTTTTGGGGGTGCTCAGGGAAAGAAGCATGATAATCATGTTCTGAAGGAAATCTTGTCTGTGCTTGGGCCAGGCCTAGAGTATAGTAGTGAGATACCATCTCAGATACAGAGGTAATAAAATTCAGTAATCAAGGTAACTAATATCCTAATTGATATTTTTAAAAATTAAAATGAATGCTAAAAATCCATGTTGAGTAAAATTAGCAAAGCTTTGTTCACCATAGATGCACCCCCCCCAAAAAAAAAAAAGAAAGAATATGAGCTGAGCCCTGAAGTGTGGTTGATTCAAATGTATTTTTTTATTCACTTTTTAAAAAATTGTACGTATTTTCAAAAAAGTCTACAATAGAGTTTTAATCCATTTTTTTTTTGGGGGGGAAGGTGTTGTTGTTTTTTCCCAAAAAATCCACAATATACAAAAATTTGATATTTTGTTTATCATGGATTTTTCCATTGACTTTCATTTTTTAAAAATTTCATTAACTACAATTTATTATGATTACTGAGTTTTAGGGATTTTTTAAAAATTTTGCACATAGCCAAGTGGCTTGCTCACTTTCCTTGCCTCATCTTGGTTGCACTGGCATATCCTTGATTCTATTCTGTATTGTTTCTCCTACACTTTCCTTGTTTTGGGTTTTTTTTTTTTTTTTTTTTTGTCTATTTGTTTGTTTTTAACTTCAATATTCCACTCCTACCTTGAGCTATTTACATTTCCCTGACCTTGAAAAAAACATTTACCTGACTCCCTTGTCATATTTTATGTCCAAGCTAAAGAACTAAGTCATCTATATCCCTGCTTCAGCTTCCTTATCTTCCTCCTAAACTCTGTATGACCTTGGACATTGCCATAACCCTTTCTGATGTTATTTCTAGTAGGTTTCCAAGGCTGCCTTCTCAATTATTATTCTATGAGCTCAGAATTCTTAGAGTCAGAAATGAGCCCTTCTCCTATGTCCTATTTGGCTCACTTTGTGGCTAGTCTGACTCTTACCTCGTTGCCTATTCTTGCTCCTCTCTGCCCCCACCTCCTCACTAGAGTGCTCCCCCTGCAGTCTATTCTTTCTACTCATTCTACTCCCCAGAGTCCAGCCAGTCTCAAGTTAATAGTAACCACCCTCTTCCCATTTATACAAAATCAAAACTGGGACCACTTTCCAACTTCTCCGTTTCCTTTATGTACACTCAATCAGTCATCAAGTCCTCTGGACCATGATCACAAGGATAAAGTCACCTAAATCCTCACATCTGGCCTTTCCTTTTCATTTATACCATAAGCATCTTAGCTTGGAACCTCAAAATTGCTCATCTCAATTCCTCAGCACCTCTAGGTTGACCTCCCAAACTGCTGACTCCACTTAAATTCAGTGCACATCCATTGTATTTGAAAGACTTCAGTAGCAATTTTTTTTCTATTATGTCAAAAGTTATCACCTTGATCTGGCTTCTTAGGTATAGAATAATCAGCTCAACCTCATGTCTGAAGGCTTATTTTTACCTCTGATAGCATCCCATCCCAAGGCACAGAGGAGTCACATCATCCCAGGCTTTTCTCTTAGTTCAGGATTTCCCCTAAAAACCCCTTAGGTGAAGCTAAAGGACTCTTCATGTTCTTTAGCTTTGCCTTTACCTTTATGAATCAACCACACTCCAGGGTTCAGCTCATATTCTCTCCTCTCTGAGCTTTCCTTAATTATTTCAGATTTTAACTAATCCCCCAGATTCATTAAACTTCTGAGCACAACCTTTGGAACTGAAGTCAGAATACCATATACTGATTATCAGTTCTTTTTGCATATTAGTCTTTTATAAACCTGTGAAGTTTTTGAGAATGGGGTCAAATATATAGCATCACATTGCCTGCCATAATACTTATGCCTCCCCCCAACCCATGTTTTTATTTATTTATTGCTCACCAATCACCTGGTGTAGGTCCTAAGAATCAAAGATGAATAAGGTGTGGCCTGGTTTTTAAAAGTCTCACACCCTTCAACACAGTGTTAAATACTAAGGGCAGGGAAAAGGGGAGGGGGGATTGATTCTCTATTTCAAGTCAGGATATCAGTGAAGAGATAATAATGTAAGCCAAAATTTGACAAATATGTACATTTTCCAGGCTGAGCATGGGGAATTGGGGAGTAGTGTTGTAGGCAAAGGAAGTCATATATACAGTGGACTGAGAAGCTGTGAGTGAGCACAGCTTGGAATTTAAGGGGCAGAAAGAATGTGGCATGAGATAAAGCTGGAGAAGTCTGTAAGGATCAGACTAAAAAGGCTTGCAAGGTTTTGCTAAAGATTAAAACTAGATGACCTCGTGATTCAGGGAAGGCATTTAAGCAGAGATAATAGCATAATTAGCTCTTGATGTAAATAAGAAAAGGGTGATAATGGAGATAGGGGTCTAAGTAAGAGGCTCTGGGGTAATCAGATAAGCAATAAGGAAGACCATAACTACTTATGTCTTCCTTGGGCTGACCTTGCTACCCTTTTCCCTAATCTTGCCTAGAGTCCCTAACTCTCACAAAGAATAATTTGCTATAAAGATGGGTCTTTTCTCTACATTGCACATTTATCCTTTCTCCCCAAATCTGCAATCTTCCTCTAAGAAACAAGAGGCTAGAACTCCAGGCAAGCCCAGGTCTCACTGTGTTTTTGCCAGTACATCTCTCACCTGGATGACTGGTGTGTGTGGAGGGGCGGGATGAGGTCCCAGATAAGCTCTGAAGAAGGGGAAGTGACCATACTGACTCATCAGAAGTCTCAGAGTTCCGTTAAAGTCTAAGGAAGTCCAATTACCGGAGATTGGCCAGCCTCCAAGCTGGGAAGAGAGAGACAAGTCTCAGCAAAGGGGTCTCATCTCTGTCACTTGTATCCCATTCCTCAGATAGCTACTACTTCCTGACTTTTACTCTGAGCTCTTAGTTATCTCTAGGGCTTCACCTCTATTCTTCTTTCTCCAGCTTCACCCAAGGTCCTAATACTTCCTTAGGGCATTTCTATTTCCATCTTTCTCCTAGAACCTGGGGATCCACCCTCTAAGAAAATAAAATGGCAACCCTGAGCATACATTGATCCTACGTAACATGTATCCATAAGAGTCATGTTCCATGTCTCACCTCCTCAATCACTTGTCTGAGGGGACCAGTCCCTGCAGTCTCAATGGTACTTGTGTCCATGCAGGAGTTGTAGAACTGGAAGGCTTTCTCCTCCCCAGACCCCAGATGCCAGGATCCTGGGGCTTCTGGAAAAGAAGCATGGATTAATTAAAGAAGTAGGGCCAGTACAGAGACAAGCAGTGAAGGTGTGAGTTAAGGAGCTTATAGAAAAGAAAGGAAAGCTTCATGGGGAAAGGGAAAGAGAGGAAAGGAGAAGTAAAGAAATTTGGGGATATGGGAAGACTGTCCAGTTTGCACTGGATCACTTAGATGGAAGAATAACAGCAGGGGAAAAGAGTGTGGAGTCGACAATGAGGAAAATAAAGGGAAGGTATGAAAGAAAATTAGGAGGAAAATACAAGAACAAAAGGAAGAGTGAAGTATGAATAAAGGAGAAAGGGTAGAAATTGAAGACAGGAGGGAATAAATAAATTAGAAAAATTTAGGACTTCAAAGAACTTTGAGGGATTGAAGAGAAGAAAGCTCATAATGATTGGTTTACAAAGAGAAGTAACAGGGTGGGCTCCCCTAGTTCAGACTACTCACTCTTTGATATTCCTAAAATAAACAAAAACATGACAATAACCCAAACACATAACCCATTAGAATCATCCACCCTCTAATATCTAACACCTCTCCCTCAGTCCTTCCTATATCTTTTCATTCCATTGTAGGCAACAGAATTTATCCTAAGCTGCTCTAGTTGGTATGGCTCAGTGGACAGAGAGTCAGCCTGTGGATTGAAGGATACAAGGTTCAATTCTGGCCAAGAGCACATGCCTGGGTTATGGGCTTGATTCCTGGTGGAGGGCATGCAGGAGGCAGCTGATCAATAGTACTCTGTCATCATTGATGTTTCTATCTCTCTATCCTTCTCCCTTTCTCTCTGAAATCAATTAAATAAATAAATAAGCCCTATATAATAAAGCTGTAATATGCAAATTGACTGTCACACCTTGGCATAAGATGGCCACCACAAAATGCCCGGCAGGAGAGGGCAGTTGGGGGTGACCAGGCCTGCAGAGGAGGGTAGTTGGGGGCAACCAGGCCAGCAGGGGAGCAGTTAGGTGTCGATCAGGCTGGCAGGGGAGTGGTTAGGGGGTGATCAGGCTGGTAGGCAGAAGCAGTTAGGGGCAACCAGACAGATAGGCAGGCAAGCGGTTGGGAGCCAGTAGTCCCAGATTGTGAGAGGGATATATGACTGCCAGTTTAGGCTTGATTGCATAGACATCGGGCCTAAACCAGCAGTTGGACATCCTTTCAGGGGTCCCAGATTAGAGAGGGTGCAGGCTGGGCTGAGAGACACTCTTCTCACCATCCCCAATCCCCACACCAGTACACAAATTTTGTGCACTGGGCCTCTAATAAATGAATAAGAAAAAGAGATTTAAAAAAAAGAGAGAGAGAGAGAGAGAAGAATTTATCCTAAACTTATTGTTTTTGTTTTTTGTTTTATCTTTGTACCTTAAATGAAAGCATGCCCCCCACCAAGGGCTAGCCTACTTCTACATTTTGCATAATAAAGAGAGTACAGGGATGCATTTTTTTCTCCTAAATTCCAATTGGTACCCCCTGGGTTTTTAATTTCATTCAGTTATTCATGCCTATCTTAACTCATTCCTTACACACAGCCAAATAAAGTCCCCTATGCCACTTCATACCCCACTATGCCACTTCTTTCTCACCTTCATCTCACATCATCCATTCCCATTATCCCACTTCTTCAAGTTCAGCTTGTACTTCATGGTCCCAGGTTTCAGCGGAGAACAGATGATTGTTAGGAAATGGGGAGTTTATGGGAGGGAGAGGATAACATGACAAGGGGGCATTATATACAAGAAGGATTTGAAGGCTAGAAACTGAAAGTGATGGAGAGTGATGGAGAGAAGAATTAAAGTGCAAAAGCTCCTGAAGAGGTGCTGGTGGGGAAGATACCATGCATGGGACAGATATTGAAAATGTAAGAGAGATAACAAAGAATATGGAGCTTGGTAAAAGGGAGGACTTTGAGACAGTCCAGTAATCACAGATAAATTGGAAGGAAAAAAAGGATGGGATTTAGATAAAGACCAAGTATAGGACTGGAAGAGATGGATCAGAGGTGGTAACCAGGTGAAAGGTACCATGACAGAGCTGCAAACTTGGGTAGTGTTCTGAAAGCCCACTAGGGATGGTGCAGACCAGCTGTTCCACAACAACACAGGTTTGGGAGTCATGATGGTTCTAGGTTCAGTCACCCATTTTCACAGAGAATCTTTGCCCTGCATTCCTTACCCAGTATTCTCCGAAGTCGGCTCTTATTCTCCTCAGCAAGGGCCTGAAAAGAATTACTGGTTTCCTTGGCCTTTCCACAGGCAAAGCTGAAGAAGTCAGTGCAGGGTGCCGCTCTGGTGTTCCCAGAGGCCAGATAATGATCCGGGAGATGCAAACACATGGGCATCTCACAGAAGCCTGTGGGGGAAAAGCTCAGAGCTGGGAGAAAAGAGAGATAAGGGCTCCCCCAAGGGCCTGGGCAAAGGAAGACCTGGTGAGGACCAAGGAGAGACCTGGAAGGGGGTTGATGGAAGGGTCAGGATGAGTAGTGAGTTAAGTCAGTGGGCATGAAGTCTCAGGGTGATGGACAGATGACTGAGTGAGGATTGATGGGGTTAGGGGTTAGGGGTTCCAGGATCCTGCTTACGAGGTCCACAGCTCCGGAAGATGTAGAACAAAATGATGGAAGAACCAAGGAGCAGACCTAAAATCAGGACAGCCAGTAGCAGCCGTCTGGCCCTGGGCCACCATCTGCTCTGTTCAATGGGTTGCCCCTCTTCTGGAGGTCTCTGCATGCAGGAAACCAGGTGATGAAAAACACAAAAGGGAGGGGAGAGTAGAGGAAAGGTACAGGGAGAGGGGAGAGAATAAATAAGTTAGTGTTAGGGTCCCCTTGTTTCGAGATCATTCTCCCTAGCTGGGCTTTTATGGGCACCCCTGGAGGATGCATAGACAAGAGATGCTGCCTCTCTTAGGTAAGGGCAAAGCAGGCCAGGAGGGGTGGGATGCTAAAGCTGGAAGGGTGTCATAAATCTGCCCAGTGCAGGTCAAGGACATCACTTACCTCCTGGCTCCAGAGAGTCCCCATTCCACTCAACAGGTTCAGTCCCCGTGGTCTCCTTACACTTGTCCCCACCCTCCTGAACTGAGTGAGCAGGAGGAGAGGGAAGCTGCGCACATTAAGGAAGGGGGTACATTAAAGAGAGTTATATCAAGTCATTTTCACATCTCCTCCATGCATATTCAGAATGAAACTGTCCCAAGGATGTACCACTAGTCCCCTATCCCTATTATCCCCTATTAGTCCCCTACCCCTTTCATCTTCTGTCCCTTCTCCTTTCTACTTTCCAAGCCTCCCACATCCTCCCCTCCAGTGGCAAGCAGGGCCATTCTCACATAGCAGCTGCCCTCACTCTTCAGCTGAGGCCTTTGACTCCAAAATGAAATGTGGGTGTGTTTTTTTTCTTTTCTTTTTCAGGAGACTTGCCGTCTGTCTGCCTGTCCGTCTCTCTGTCCTTCTCTCTGTCCTCTCTGGCTCCCCAAATCTTTCCTGGTTCTAGTCTGGATGTTGAGTCTGAGGAGTAGGATTCAGGAAATGGCCCCCTCCTTCTCCCATCCGTTCTTTGGTCCTGGAGAAGGGGCACTTCTGCCACTGGATGCCCCTGTCCCCATACACACACCATTGGCCTCTGGGTGGAGCCTGGTTATCAGTCAGGAGACACCCTGGCCTCTCCTCCTTTATCTTAGCTTCTCAGGGGAGGCAAAGGGGGGAGGGGGGTTCCTCACTCCCCAAGCAATCTTACCCTTGGGAGGCTCCTCTTGCCTTGCTCTGCCCCTTTGCCAGAGTCTCTTGTCTTTATAATGTTCAGAAATAAGTCATGTGCTACTTCCTGATATGTCAGTTCTCCAAATTAGAGTCTTTCACCTCAAAGTGAGTGGTAAACATGATTCACGGTGAGGAAAAAGAAAACCACAGTATGCCCAAACTCTTTTTAAAGAGTCCCCATTCTCCAACATCTTAGCAAATTCTTAGCCTTTTCTTTTTATTTTTATTTTTAATGTATTTTATTGATTTTAGAGAGGAAGAAAGAGGGAGAGAGATATATAAACATCAATGATGAGAGAGAATCATTGGTTGGCTGCTCCTGCACGCCCCCTACCGGGGGATCAAGCTCACAACCCAGGCATGTGCCCTTGGCAGGAATCAAACCTAGGACCCTTTAGTCCGCAGGCTGATGCTCTATCTATTGAACCAAACCAGCTAGGGCTCTTAGCCTTTTCTTTCTTTCTCTCTCTCTTCCTTCTTTCCTTCCTTCCTTCCTTCCTTCCTTCCTTCCTTCCTTCCTTCCTTCCTTCCTTCCTTCCTTCCTTCCTTTCTCTTTCTTTTAAAAAAAAAATATATTTTATTGATTTTTTACAGAGAGGAAGAGAGGAATAGAGAGCTAGGAACATCAATGAGAGAAAAACATCCATCAGCTGCCTCCTGCACACCCTTCCTGGGGATGTGCCGGCAACCAAGGTACATGCCCTTGACTGGAATTGAACCCGGGACCTCTCAGTTGGCAGGCCGATGCTCTATCCACTGAGTCACACCGGTTTCGGCATCTTAGCCTTTTCTTATATTCCATTGAGGTGTGAGAGAACCAAAAGTGGAAAAACCAGATTCACTATCTCTTATCCTTTATTGCATAGATAGTCTGATACTATTGTATTGCTTTTAGAAACTCTAGAGCAACATAAATAAACACATGCAAATTATGATAGCTATCATTTGTTGTTGGTCTAGAATGTGTAAGGCAACACTACTAATCATACATTACTTTCTTAGTCCTATGCTAATCTGTCAAATAAGTTATGGTTACTTTGTTTTATAGATGAGGAAGTCAGAGGTACAGCTTGATTAAGAGATTTTCCCAAGATCACATGATTAGTGACTAGGAGAACCCAGATCGAAGTCGAGATCTGGAATTCCTGCTTTACATATCATTTCTATCTGTAAAATAGACTGATTATACTTTCTGAGTCTATCAGGTGAAGAATTGTAGAACGCGAAGACTCATATAGAGGGCTGGGGAAGGTGAGAACACAGGGAAGAAATGGTCTATTGAGATGTGAATGCCTCTAGCTGACATGTCGCTTAGAAGAGGAAAGGGAGAAAAGCCTAAAACAGTCTGTCTTAAAGTCCCAGGGTAAGGCAAACATTTGAAAATAAAAAAGGCAGAAAATTTCAATCAATGGTGAATTATTTTCTAGATAAGATGGTGTGTGTGTGTGTGTGTGTGTGTGTGTGTGTGTGTGTGTGTGTATGTATGTAATTATAGGAAAAGGGTCCTGGAAAGTTTGATTCAGTTGGGTGGGCATCATCTCATTCACCAAAAGGATTCTGGTTAATTCTTTTGGTGCATGCGATGATGGGATAATTCTAAAGTGGGGCACATGCCTAGGTTGCAGCTCAATTCCCAGTAAAGGGCAAGCAGGAGGCAGCTGGTTAATGTTTCACTCTCACCTTGATGTTTCTCTCTCAGCCCCACTCTCAAAATCAATTTTTAAAAATCTTAAATAATGATAAGATAATTAAATAATTGAATTTGGGGTGGGGGAGGGGAAGAGAAGAAGTAGAAGCAATAGCTTCCCAGGTTGGAGATATGACTGAGATTTCCTATTTCAATTCAGAGTAAGCTTGCCCTGTTGTGTGACAGTGCAATTAATCAGTAACTAATAAATGTTCTTGGTAGCAGATAGTCTAAATTAAGAATGAGGGCATTAGGCCCTACTTGGTTTGACTCAATGGATAGAGCCTCAGCCTGAGGGGTCCCAGGTTTGACTCTCGTCAAGGGCACATGCCTGGGTTGTGGGCTTGATCCCCAGTGGAGGGTGTGTAGGAAGCAGCTGATCAATGATTTTATCTCATCATTGATGTTTCTATCTCTTTCTCCCTCTCTCTTCCTCTTTGAAATATATATATACTAGTAACCCAGTGCACGAAATTCATGCATATTAAAAGGGGATTAATTAGAGGAAATAATTTAATATTGCTATTTTCCTTTTCTCTATAATAGAAGTGTCAGAGATGAAAGAAAATTAGTAAAATGTATATGAAAACCTTCCTCCTAGTAAAATGTATATGAAAACTTGTCAGAGTCTAGGGCTCACCATGGGACCCAGAGTCAAGACCCCACCCACCCACATGCACCTCAAAAATCATGTAGAGGTCCTCCTGGGAAGGCACATGGACATTCTTTAAATTGTCAGCTGAGCCAGAGGCACTGGCAGAGTTCATGTCCCTGGTTACACTCTCCCCCAAGAGGGCCGAAGGTGTTATTCAATTTCTGACTTACCTTTGTCCAGGTGTTAGCAGGGGCCAGTCTAGATAGGTAAATCCAGTAATGCTAGGGCCTAGTTAAAAAGGCAAATATGCTCCTTTGATCTTAAGTTTTGGTGTTACTTCCTGGTATTTTGGGTTATAAAAATGAACCTGCTGCCTGGCTCAGGCGCTCTCAGACTCTCCATCAGAGAGAATGGCTCCCACCTAGCTCCCAGCCTTATGAATCTATTTCTGACTCTTGGTCTGTTTCTTTCTTTAATTTCTTTTTAAAAAAATATATATTTTATTGATTTTTTAAAGGGAGGAGGAGAAAGGGATACAGAGCTAGAAACATCGATGAGAGAGAAACATTGACCAGCTGCCTCTTGCACACCCCCTACCAGGGATGTGCCCGCAACCAATGTACATGCCCTTTACCGGAATCGAACCTGGGACCTTTCAGTCTGCAGACCGATACTCTACCACTAAGCCAAAAATGGTTTCAGCTCTTTCTTAATTTGTTAATCCCCAGCTCCTCCACTCAGCAATCTGACTGTTTTCTTTTCTGTGATGGAGATGGATTCAGAAAAGAGAGAAACCCCCCCTCCCCCCACAAAATCATATGAGGCCCAGACCTGGCCACCCCCTCTCCGCCTTGGGCTAGATACAGACCCGGCCAGTCCCACCCTTGTCAAGCCCTGCCAGACAGGGGGTCCCCTGGCCTGCTGCCAGAACAGGAGAGCATGGCCTGAAGTCCCTCATCCCAGACCAGGGTGGGAAGTGTGCCTTGAGGTCCTCCATGGCCTGACATGGCCTGAGCTCTGCTTTCAAGCCCTCTGGGTGGAGGGCTTGACCTGAGGTCCCCCAGCCTGGTGCTGGGGTTGGGGGAGTAGCCTAAGGTCCCCTAGCCCAGAACCAGGATAGGAAGTGCAACTTGAGGTCCCCCATCCATCTTCACCTTGGGGGGGATCACGGCCTGAAGTCCCCTAACAAGCCCCATCTGGTGGGGGGTACAACCTGAGGTCCCTGGCCTGGCACTGTGGTGTGGGGAGCAGCCTGAGGTCCCCTAACCCAGCACCAGGATGGGAAGCACATCCTGATGTGACTGAGTGATGGTCAATTAGATTATTCCCTCTTTATTAGATAAGATTCTACATAATAAAGAGGTAATGTGCAAATTGATGATCACTCCAACACACAAGATGGTTGCCCCCATGTGGTCAAAGATGGCCACCCATGAGTATACAAGATGGCCACCACAAGATGGCTGGCAGGGGAGGGCAGTTATGGGCAATCAGGCCAGCAGGGGAGGGCAGTTAGGGGTGACTGGGCTGGCAGAGGAGGGCAGTTGGAGGCAACCAAGCCTTCAGGGGAGGACAGTTGGGGGGGAATCCTGGCCTACAGAGGAGGGCAGTTTGGGGGGACTAGCTCTATAGGGAATGGAAGTTGGGGTAGACCAGGCCTGTATGGAAGGGAATTTGGGGGTAAGCAGGCTGGCAAGGCAGGGCAATTAGGGGCCACCAAGCTGGCAAGGGAAGGACATTAGGGGTGACAGGGCCAGCAGGTTGTGGGCAGTTAGGGGCAATTGGGCTGGCAAGGGAGTGGTTAGGGGGTGATCAGGCTAGCAGGCAGCAGTGGTTAGGGGCAATCAGGCAGGCAGGCAGGCAAGCAGTTGGGAGCCAGAAGTCTTAGATTGTGAGAGGGATGTCTGACTGCCCTTGGGGTCCCAGATGGGAGAGGGTGCAGGCTGGGCTGAGGGACATACCCTCCTCCCCCATGCATGA